ACACTGACGTTCTTCACAACTAACTGCACACTATATTAATATACAATTCAACTGTACAATGTTTACTCCTGATATAATATTGATCAAATTAACCATCATACACCAGAAAATTGAATGAAGTGCCAGGGGCCTAATGTGCAGGGCCCAGTGCAAATGAAAATGTGGCACCCTGCCTGGACATGGGTATGTCAACCCATTTTTTCAAGGGCCACTGCCCAACCCATGATGGGCAGGTGACCCTAGGCGGACTGAGGCCGGCGCAGAAAGGGGGAAGCTGGGTAACGCAGGGCCCCAGGGGTAGCATGGCGAGGAGGCGAGAACCTGTCGCAGGGAGGCTGGGAGGCAGTGCAGGCAGGATCGCACACAAGCCAAGGCTCTCAGCCCCGCACATGCTCCATAGCCCATCTGGCTTCACCTACAAAACACAGACTCAAAGATCAAGTTACTCAGCATTTCAAGGTGGTGATCACAGAGCATTAAACTCTAAACACAGGATCCTTCTGAGTGGGGGGCCCTGAACAACTACACTGGTCACCCCCACAAAGCCAGCCTTAGAGATGACAGTGAGCAAAAGAGCAAATGATATGTTCCTGGCCAACGCACCCCATCTCACACAGTGAGTCCTCACACAACCAGTCATGACAGCTGCAGAATTTGTTGCAGGATGAAGAATATCTAATGTGCCCTGGCCGGTTTGGCTCAGCAGTTAGAGCATCAGCCCTTGGACCAAAGAGTCTTTGGTTTGATTCCCAGTCAAGGGCATGTACCTTGGTTGATTTCCAGTCAAGGGCATGTACCTTGGCTTTGGGTTCGATCCCGGCCCTGGTCAGGGTCATGTGGGAGGCAACCAATTGATCTCTCTCTCTCCCTCCCTCCCACCCTCCCTCCCTCCTTCCCACTCTATCTAAAAAAAAAAGTCAATGATAAAATATCCTCAGGTAAGGATTTTAAAAAAAAGAATATCTGATATGCTCTCTCATAACCTATTCTCTTTTTTTGGGTATTGAACTCTATCTTTTTTATTTTTTAGTTACAGATGACATACAATATTATATTAGTTTCAGGTATACAACATGGTGATTTTACATTTATATAATTTACAAAGTGAGCACCCCAACAAGTCTGGCACCCATCTGACACCACACATAGTTATTGCAATATTATTGACTATATTCCCTATTCTCAACTTCAAATCCTGTGACTATTTTTTTTCAATTACAGTTTCTATTCACTATTATTTTGTATTAGTTTCAGGTACATAGCGTAATGGGTCAGTCAATCATAATCTATTCTTTTTTCTTTCTTTCTTTCTTTCTTTCTTTCTTTCTTTCTTTCTTTCTTTCTGATCCTGATCCACGTGTCTAAGGCCTTGTCTCTTTCAGGGCCTGTCCTCTTGAGGTGGGAAGTGTCAGGAAAGGCAGTCTTGTATGGCAGCAAGAATGTGACCAGAGAACAAATAAGACAGAAGGAAGGAAGGAAGGAAGGAAGGAAGGAAGGAAGGAAGGAAGGAAGGAAGGAAGGAAGGAAGGGAAGGAAAGAAAGGAAAGAAAGAAAGAAAGAAAGAAAGAAAGAAAGAAAGAAAGAAAGAAAGAAAGACAAGGAGGGAGGGAGGGAAGGAGGGAGGGAGGGAGGGAGGGAGGGAGGGAGGGAGGGAAGGAGGGAGGGAGGGAAAGAATGTGACCAGGAGTCAACAACCCTGTCTGTCTCCTCTACCATTCCACACATTCGGAACATCCCTTCATTTCTCTGGGCCCCTACTTCCTTATTATTCAATTCCTTGTGTAATAAAGTTGGCTTCCTTACTACTAATTATTAATGAAAGGGCTAAGACAGGTGACCTTTAACATTTCCTCCAGCTCTGTTTCTGGGAGAAGGAAACAACACAAATAGGTGTTTGACAAAAGGCATTTGAGCTCTCGACTGTTTTATCTCCATTTTTAATGGACTCGTGGTAATCAATATTCTTTGATTCATCAAAGCCATATCTGGACTGTTTGGTGTGATGTTGTTGCCACACAGAAGCCAAAAGAAATGAGGCTTGAGTGGTGTGGAGGTGTAGGCAAAGGAGGCCTCATTCCCTGAAGGCCTAGCAGCACATGGGTTAATTCTATAACCCCATATTTTTAAATAACAATAATTAGTACCTGAGACAAGTTCTTTTATCTCAGGTGCTCAAAGGGCTTTGTGGTCATTAACCCATTAATTCACTTGCCTCAAGCCATCAGGAGGAATCTCCTTAGAAGACAGTCTGGCCAGAACATCACAACAGTGAAGAATGAGGTGACTAACTAGCTGGAGGGGGCTGGGAGGAGGACCGAGGTCACCAGAAGAATTCTCTTGGAAGAACTAAATGGGAAATCCTCTGTTGTCCTACTGACAGCAATTTAGCCCTTCCCTAGGCTTTTTGAGTAAATTCTCATGGATGTTACATTTCATCATCTAGAAAATCCCTTTACCCTTTTATGTAAACTTTAGATTCGCTTTGCAGCTTCAGTCTGACTACAATTATGCCTGAAGCAAGTAGAGGGAAGGACTGTCCTCCTTAGAATATTTTTTTCTCAAAGGAGAAAAAAAAGTGACTTTTTTAAAGTCAAGCTGTCTCTAAAATAGAACCCCACTTCAGAATGACTTTGTCTGGGGTTTGTGAAGGTCCTGACATATTTGCAGGTGGTTTTCATTAAAAAGCATCTGCTGGAGAAGCACACTGCTGAAAAGTACCTTCACAAGGCCTGGAATTCTATGAGCACCTACCTTTCAATTAAACAATCTGTCCACCTCCTAGGAGGTGCTCCGCTGGGGGCCAGGTGCTATGGGGGGGCATAAAATGTGGAACTTGACCAGCAGCTATAAATCTAATCAAGAGGATGAAACAAATACAAATTTAATTAATTAAATAATGCAAATAAAACAGGCAGAAAATATGGTTTCTGTAATTTTGAACGGCAAAGATTTGTGTGTTGTTGAGTTCACGGTGAGGGGGTGAATGAGGGCTGGAGTGATCAGGGAAGGCAGAAAACTCATAGAGGAGGTACAGTGAGCTAGATCTTAAAGGTAGAAAAAGTATTTGGGGAGGAAACAAGATCAGTGGGAATACAGCACAAAGGATAAACAGGAATAAAGCAAAGGCAGTGTAGGTAGGGGATGACATCTAAGAGAAGGCAAGCAGATGGGAGCCTGTTTCTTTGGGAGGCGGTAGGAAAACCAACCTGGATAAACCACAGGACCAGGAGACCGGAAAGAAATGTGGGTGGATGAGAAAGGTAAGGCCAAGCCACAGAGTAACTTGAAATCAGACTAACAGGTACTGATTTGGGGTCTTCAGATGTCCTCTGTCAAAAGACAAGTATCCAGGATGAGAGCTAAGGAGTACATTGGGAGCAGGGGTGGAGGGATGGGAGGGCACCCTTAGCCAGTAGAAGTGGGACACAGCACTCTGCTACATGTCACCACAGGAGAAAAGGAATATAATCTACCAACATCCGCTGGTAACTTTCAGTTTTGAGTTCTATCTTGGGCCCTAGGAATTCCCAGTGGAATGAGACCCAGAACAAATACATTCAGATACAGGGTGAGGAGAGGAAGGACTCAGGGAAAGTATACCAAAGCCCACACTTGGACAGCCAAAGCCTGGGCAAGGACTTCCAAAAGAGAGGAAAAGAGAGTAGAAGAGAAGACAAATTTCCCCCAATTCACAAAGTTGCCAACCACTGGCCCTCTAAATGCACATACCCTTCTTTATGTCCCAGTAAAACTCATTCCTTTGTTGAATGGATGCTCTTTGGATCTTACAATTAAAATCAAGATGCGGGGAAGACTCTGGAGACAGCTTTTCAGGAAGTAGGTCAGAAGAAGAATGAAGGTCCTCATGTAAGGATCTGAGGGCCTGCCTCTCTCAGCTTCTCAAGCACAGTGGAGTAAGTGGGGAGCAAGCAATCTTTCCTAAGTTCACTCCCCTCCAGGACCTCCCTGAGGCCAAGGTGCCTCAAGTGAGCAGCAGCATGGAAAATAATTGTTATCACCAAAGAAGTCTCTGCAGAAAAGTTGCTGTGAAACTGGAATAGGTGTGTCTTTCTGACCTTCCGGGTTTTTTTATAGGCACTGCAGGAATCTGAGTGAGGGCCTCCAGTCCTTCCGCCCATTTGGGGAGAGAATAAAGAAGCTGAGGTTGTCTCCTTCTTACTCATTGGCAGTTACAACCTCGCAGCCACCACAGCCTCAGCTTTCTGCGTGGACACAGAGAAGGTAAGTTGGGATGAAGGGGCCATGTCCTCAGCTATAAACCTAGGTCACTCTGCCATTTAGCTTGGGAATAACTGAAGACCAGGAGGAGAGCTCAGAGTATTCTATTGCAAAATACTCTATTCCAAATGAATATGTGGAATTTTTTCCTAGGCAACCTCTGTTAAGACGTAGATTTTGGTGCTAAACTATCCGAAAAGTTATTTAAAGGCAGGGACCAATTCTTGGATGAGCAATTAGTAAGTATTTAACAATAATATGATGCATTGAATTGACTTGAATTAAAGAAGGAACAGTCATTAATATTACTAGGAAAAATCACCTGTCCCCCTCAATGCATCAGTGTCTCGGGTGATCCAATCAATGATCCATTAATGTCAACAGGCCTTGTCCTGGAGCCAGCCATAACTGGAATCCCATCAATCATGCTAACCTTGTCACATGCCCCATTTTTCTGCATTAATTTCAAAAAGCCTAGGTGGAAACTGTGATGGAAATGGATGAATTATCTGGGGCCCCCAAATAAAGACTGCTCTGTTTTTCCCAGGAGGATAGAGCTAAGACAGTTGTGAGGGTTTGATAGTTTGGGGCTATTTCATTCAGTACATCCAGGTGTCTTTATTTGGGACTGAGAGATATTACTGTGACCTGCATATACTCAACAGTCATTTTTGTGGGTAGATATAAAGTCATAAGTTTGTCTCATCTTTTTTCCGCAGGGAAACAGAAGTCCATTCTCAAGAGGTCCACCTATAGTCACCATGTATGAGGACTTCGAGTCCACTGGGGACTACTATTTCCTCTGTGACACCGAGGGGCCATGGGGCATCGTTCTGGAGTGCCTGGCAATAATTGGCATAGTGGTTACAGTTATTCTGCTCTTGGCACTTATCTTCCTCATGCGAAAGATTCAAGACTGTTGCCTGTGGAATGTCCTCCCTACCCAGCTCCTCTTCCTCCTGGGTGTGCTGGGGCTCTTTAGCCTTGCTTTTGCCTTCATCTTCCAGTTCAATCAGCAAACTGCCCCTGTACGCTACTTTTTCTTTGGAGTTCTCTTTGCTCTCTGTTTCTCATGCCTTTTGGCTCATACCTTCTACTTGGTGAGGCTGGTCCGGGGTGGAGTCTCCTTCTCTTGGACGACAATGCTGTGCATTGCTATTGGTTGTAGCCTGTTGCAGACAATCATTGCCATTGAGTATGTGTCGCTCATAATGACCAGATGTATGACATTTGTGCACATGGCACCCTGTCAGCTCAATGTGGACTTTGTTGTACTCCTGGTCTATGTCCTTCTCCTGATGGCCCTCACCTTCTTCGTCTCCAGCGCCACCTTTTGTGGCCCATGTGAGAACTGGAAGCAGCATGGGAAGTTCATCTTTGTCACTATGCTCATCTCCATCCTTATCTGGGTGGTGTGGATCTCCATGCTCATGAGAGGCAATCCACAGCTCCAGCGGCAGCCCCAGTGGGATGACCCTGTCGTCTGCATTGCCCTGGTCACCAATGCGTGGGTTTTCCTGCTGCTGTACATCATACCTGAGCTCTGCATTCTCTACAGATCGTGTAAACAGCAATGCCCTTTACCAGGCAACACCTGCTCAGCCCCAGCCTACAAGTGCAGCTTCAGAGCGGAAAACCAGGAACTCTCAAGAGGTACTTTCCTGGGGGATTCAGAGAGTGGGGAGTGTCTTCTGGGGGAGAAACAGGAGAGAAATAGGACTACAGGATGAACCAAGAAGGAACAAAAAGGAAATGGTCAGAAGTTAGTAGATAACAAAATAGTTCAAGCATGCAGATGAAGAGCCCCAGAATCAAGGTTAAACTTTTATGAAAAATGAGCTCTTCCAAAATACAGAGACCAATGGAATGAGACTAAGACAGAAATGAATCAAAGGCCCGCAGTAAAGATGGTGTGGCTCTAGTGCTCATGCTGGGTAAAGAAAGGCACCCACTATAAAATGAGTTCATCGGCCCCAGCTGAGGCTTGGACCATGCAGTTGCATGACATATAATGCTAAGGACTGATATTTTGGCTGTCAAGTACAAAAGTCAATCCTGGCAACAGTGATTGACATGTTAAAAGTTAAGTCTCAAAGTTAATTTGCCCAAACATCATAATAAACTGAGTTGCAAGACTCATCACCTCATTAAAGTCACAAAGCCCAATAACATGCTTTTCAAGCTATTCACTGCTTAAAACCCCGCAAGGCTTACAAAAAAGGACAGGAAGAGGCATTAAATCATAATCCTGAGTAAAGGCACAGATGTACGATTATTAATAGAAATAAAGCAATGTGCTTATGTGACATTTTCATAATTTCTAGGTCATATTTTGATCCTTATGTAAGACCAAGCCACCTGACTGTCCTTTATTAAAGAATAAAATATATTATCCATGACAATAAGGAGGCTTAGATACCAACAACCTGGGGAAAATAGTGGCTAATTTCAGTCATCTGGAAATATTTCAAAACTCATTATTTCCTTTCTAAAACATCTGGCCTATTATTCATAACCAAATATCATAGTTCTACATTCATTCTTGTGTCTTAATAGGCATCTGATTTCTCACTGTTTATTTCTAATGTGCAAAGATGATCTTATTTTATATATTGTATAGCGTACATAATTTTCACTAGGCTCAAAAAAATTAATAGAAGCTTTTCTTTTAAGTGCATATACTTTTTCAAGCTGTAATCTATGGCTAATTACACATTCAAATTAAGTCCTGTTCAGATAGATGCATCCATTAACTCTTTTCAGATCAGTTGACCGAGCATCAGACCCTGACAGTATATATCCTGTCTATAACAGTTTTTCATTGCTTGTGGATGATGTGTAATCGGATCGCTGAGGTTTGTGGCAGAATTGCAGAGTCGATCTTTCTTGAAACTACTTCTCACAGTTGTCACCAGAAGATAGGATAGAACTTCCTGTGTTTGTTTTATTGTTGTTTTATGTTTCCAGGAAACGAAAGTTAAGAGAGAGGAGGAGAGAGAAAATTCTTAGAGTTTTGTAAAACCCAAAACACACTGGGATTTGGAATGACTAACATCCCATACCTCAGAAATGTTGGGCAAGTGTTCAAAGTGTTCTGAGGAGTGTCCTGGAGGAAGAGCAAGGGCTTGGGAAAGCACCGTGTTTCCTGGAACTCACCTCATGGCTCGAGCATGGTTAGAAAGCCCGTTTCTGAGCAGAAAATAGCCTGCCAGGCTATTGTCAATGCAGGTTGCTACTTTGTAGGGAAAAAAACAACAGTGTAGAAAAGAACACATAGATTGTGCTCCAAAATTAGACAGAATAACCAGAAACTGAAGCTTTAGAGAATGGAATCAGAATTTAGGTCACCTGGAAAAAGTACAAATGTCAAAAATTAGAAGAAGGATTGAAACTCAATTAAGAAGTACAGGACTACACCTAGCTAAGAAATAGACACGAAATAGGTAAGAGCCAGGCACGTACAGCATAGTAAGTACAGTACAATAACAATTACTCGAAACAACCTGAGTGTGTTGCAGGTCACGAGCTGACAGTGGGAAAGCAGCTCAGCACTGCCTTTGTTTTCGTTTGCTCAAGAACCAGTCACGGTACTGTACACGCGGGCATGTGGTCAGCAAGAACAACCAGGCCATTGTACTCAGCACTGGTCAGTCTCTAACAAGAACACCCCTTCCAGTCCTGGGAGCCACTAATGAGAAGTGTGAGGAACTTGGAAAGGTTTCGGTGGGAAACCACAAAGATGATTAAAGGGTTATAACATCAGACCTGTGTGCAAAGGCTAAGACAATGAAATGAGATGGTAGTTCTCTGTGCTGTTCTCGGAGACTATCTGAAGTCTCTCCCTCAATCCCGTGCTAAAACATGACATTTTGTTCGCGTCCATGAGGCATACATTTGTCAGGTGACTCTTCTGATTAATACTGTTCGTAGCTGTGACTCCAGTCACATAATTATTTGATTTACCACTGGGTTGTGGGACCAGAATTATTCAACTGAGAGAAAAGTAAGACAAGAGGATCCGCAGAGAATTTCACAAGTATAAAGACCTCTCTCCAAGAGGCTGTTGTCCTGTTTTTTTGTCTCCAGCTGAAGACAATGGGTAGAAATGGACTCAAACCAAAGCATGAGGGATTTAGATTAAATGTGAAAATAAGAATTGGTAAACATTGAAACGGATCCAGAAAGGGGATTAAGGACCCCATTTCCCTGGAAGTCTTTCAAAAAAAGATTAGGCTTTATCTTTCTGAAGTGGTTTATGGACTTAATTCCAAGATTTAAAAAAAAAAATCTGGATGGAGAATGAAAATGAAAATGCACTCAGGCTGTTACTACGGGCCACCAAACAATTGGGTATAAACATTCACCGCCCTGTTACAAGTGTGTTCCTAAAAACAAACAGTATATTGATTGACCTTCTAAAATTAGTTTTTCTTTTAACTGAGAATTTTAAGTGTGATAGAATTTGTGGAAACCTTAAATACACTAAAATATCGGCCATGATATTTTTAGGATGGGAAAGCTCCTATTCTCATTATTGTCTACTTTATCTGTTCCGGCCTAATTAGAATGTTGTTATATCAAGTTTGCTAAAAGCAAGACCCATGAATATTTGAAAGTATCATATTATAGTGGGCATTTTTCTGTCCAGTGTTTGAATGTGTACAGACAAACCTAGCATGATTTTATTTGAAGGTATTAAGACAAAAATAATGAGGCTATGTAATGTAAAAATGGGTCGATGACTGTAAAATGATAGAAACCAAGAGAAAAATGTTTTTGCAAGCATTAGCCCTTTGGGTTGTTTTCCTTATAACAAATACCAACTTTTGCTGGACATAGTTCTTTTTGACAATTCTCAACATTTTTTTTCTTCAAGATATGTACCTTACTATAAAAAAACCAATTTGAATGGTCCCAGGGGGAGTAATTTTTGTTTGTTCCTTCATGGGAACAAACTGCAAACCCACTCTTTTGTCACCCTCGAGAGCTACAGGTCGCAGACCGAGAACTGGCACAAAGAGGGAAGAAGGCAGCAAGCTAGAGAATCAGGCTTCTCTTATTTATAATCTGGTCTGGTAACAGTATCGGTTACCAATGGGCTGAGTATGAAGGAGTCTTGTTACGCCACTGGGAACAAAGTTAAACCACAGTTCATTCTCCTGTGAAGGAGAAAAGAGCCTTTCATATTCACAGGATCCAACCCCTCTCAAAAATTCCAGTAGATAGAAGATGTCAGAGTATCGATTATAACTATACCACCAGCACTAACGCCAATAATAATATACAGTGGATAGCACTATGGTGTTTTCTATATATTGTGCCCTATTCCATGGGCTTTATGTACATTGGTTGATTTAATCTTCAAAATAACCCTATAAAATAGATTTATTATCATGATCATCATGATCCCTCTTTCACTCCCATAGTAAACAAAGGCAGCAGAAGGGGCAGGACTTGGGCCCTGGGGAACACAGCCAACCAATAGGAGCACAGAGTTCACCGGCTCCAATGCTACAGCCACTAAGTGTGAATCCCAGTGGCCCAGCTACATCTGTGACCAAAGAACAAATACGTGTTGAGCAAGGGCCTAGCCTTAGAGACGAACACAGCTGCTTTCTCCATAAAGCCACAGTCCTGTTGAAGAGACAGGTATTAAACAACCACATGTGTGATATTCTACAACAATCTAAAATGATCTTTAATGATGTTTTCTATTATGTCCAGTTTTTTACATCGGATCAACATGCATAGAGCATGAAGCTTCAAGGGACTTCAGAGATGACGTAGTTAAGGCTCTTTTTTTTGCAGTTGCAGACAGTGAGATGCCCGGGGCCATGTGGTCAGACTAGAGAGCAGAGGCTCGGACCCAGCGCCCGCGTTCTTTCTCTAAAAGTGATGATGAATCTTCAGCCTCTTCAATTGCTAAACACAGATGAGCTTCTCCTGAATGCAAAAGGTTCCCCATATATAAGCTTCTTCAGAAGCTTTAAAAATACTTTTTTTAAATCATAGGTTTTGTTGTTGTTAGAACAGCCTCAATGGAGAATTCCTTTTTAAAGGGCCAAGAGCCTCTTTGCAAGCCATTAAGTCTCCTAGTCCTCATGTGCCGTTTCCAGGTGAACCTGACACTAACCCAGCCCTCCCCTCCTTTGGCTTTCAGCCCGAGACAGTGATGGAGCTCAGGAGGATGTAGCATTAACTTCATATTCCGCCACAGGTAAATGTGCTCATCTGTGTCCACCGCCAAGGGCCATACCAGCACTCCTTTCTCGGGAGAGCGGCCAGGCAGTCTCGGATGGCTTTCCCTGGCCTGAGAGAGGAGTGGCAGGGCAGGGACATCCCTACGGGCATGTGGAGCCTGAGCTTCTAGACTAAGCCGCACCAGGGTGGCACCATCCAGGCAAGCCAGGCCTTTTGCCTCCACCCAGGCCCCTCCCAATCCCATCCCCGCTGCCCTCAACAATCTAGTCTGATGCCGGTGAGTGTCCCTGGAAAGAAAAGGCAGCCCGAAGGGTATGTTTGAGGGCACAGAGGAGCAAGCTCACTGCTTTTTGCCCTGGACACAACGGGGGATTGTAAATAGGTATGAGTGTCAGGTCTGTTTTTATTTTTATTTTTATTTTTTTATTTTTTATTTTTTTAATCCTCACCCGAGGACATTTTTCCATTTTTTGTTCAGGTAGAGTGGGAGGGAGAGAGAGGAACAGAGGGAGAGAGAGAAACATCGATGTGAAAGGAACACATCGAGTGGCTGCCACCCGCACAACCGACCAGGGCCGGGGACAAACTGCAACCGAGGTACGCGCCCTTAGCGGGAACCGAACCCGGGTCTCTCAGGACCGCAGGCCGAGCTCTAACCGCTGAGCCAAACCGGCCAGGGCAGGTCTATTTTTAGTATCCATGGTCAGAACGAATCTGCTGAGCCCCACTGCCTGCCTGTCAGAGTCCCGGTCCAGCTCCACTGTCCAGGCTGCCCCCAGAGCTGGGCGAGGTCGGTCACCATCCTCTCCTGTCCAGCTGGGGGTACCAATTTCAATCCTTTTGTGCAAAAGCAGAGGGAGCACTGCTGAGTAGAATTGGAGGTAACTAGCCTTTGTGCTATGACGGCTTGAAGCCACAGAATTCGGACACAATTCCTGTATGGTGGGGACCAGAAGTAACTAAAATGCAAGAGTGAAAGTCACAAACTGTACTAGGCAGCTCTAGGGTAATCCCTCTGGTGTGTTAGCCGAGACTTGCCTTTTCCTGGAACAACGCACAGTCTGGGACATAGCTGTATCATTTGCTCTAATCAACCCTCTGGGGGGCATTTACACGATGGGAAAATCTTTATTATCCCCTGTGAGAATTTCTTGGATTACTTTCAATTTCCAGTGATCAGCTATTCAAGAACCTTACAAAGAGTTTCTTGTTAAGGATAAGGGGAAAGATGGTAAAGAAGTTCTGTTGTGGGTGGGCTCAATTGTTTTTTCTTTTTTATTGACAAAGTATTAAATGATGGTGAAATGATAATATTTCAAACATAGTTCTAGAGAGTATCATCCCTTGTGTTGGCTCAGAAAGTTCACAATCGCATTTCTTCCTTTCTAGACTGTTGATCCCACGCAAGTATTTCATCCCACGGGCTGAACTGGGCCCCCACAAAGACGCAGAATTATGAAGTCCACAGGAAACGCGAGTAGAGAAAACCCAGAAGACCATCCCAACGTGAATCTGATGGGCTGCTGGGGAGCCCACAGAGTCACATTGCCAACAAAATATCCACTCATCCATCCTTCTCTGCTTCTTGGTTCTTTCCATCCATGTGGACCCTTCATCAGAAGACTGCCTTTTCGAGCTTAATTACAATCTTGCTGGCCACCATACCTGACTATGTGTCTCTTTCTTCATTCATGTAACTGAAAGATTCCCTTCTTTAGCAATGCTAGCACAGATTGGTTCCTCTTACTAATGAGACCGAAAGACCCTCGTCTGAAGAAATTATAGTCGTGCTATTATGACAGAGTCTACAGGTCAGTAGCAACTCACTATTGGAATACTTCCATTTTTTATAAAAGGCCCTTACACATGAGTGACCCAGCATTTGTGATAAAAGTCAGAGCAGAATCCTCAGGATCCCCACAGTTGGGCATTTTAAATAACATGAACATGACATGGACTTGCAAGCTGGCAGGCTTTCTCCCACAGTGTGTGCACCCCAGGACAGCAAGTATGACGGCCTATGTGGCTGAGGTCAGTGACCTGCTTTGATGAACCAAAAACAGCCAAGGAAGAGCCACCCAGCTGATGCTCATAAAGGATTTTAGCTGGCGCACATAAAAAGCAGAGTCTGCCTGTCTTGAAGTTTCTAATGAACCGATGCCTCTGCACTAATTACTCTGCCTTCATTCCTCATGCAGGCCCTCGTCCTTCCCCATGGGTTCATCTGTCCTTAACTCCCATTTGTTATATGTAACAGGCAGAACAGGGCCAGAGTCAGAGGTGTGTTGCCAGAGGGTTCGAAGGGTGCAGCTCAGCCCTCTGACATAGCAGAGGAGGACACAGAACCCTGGAGAAACGGAATGACTTGACCCAAATCACATAGTAGTTAGTGGTTTTCCAAAGCACAGACAATTCTTTTCCCCACTCCAGGAGGCCTCTCCACACCTACACTTCTGTATTAACAAGGAAGGTGTGTTCCTCCCCTGAGAACCAAATGTGATGTTTCCGACCTGCTGTGTGAAAGATCTTTGAAAAACAGCTAAGACTCCATACCTGAAAAAAAGCCATGTACAGCATGAACTTTTTCAACATCAACAAGTTTCTCCTGAGCATATGCAAGGTCCCAGGAACTGTTCCCAGACTCAGTCCTAGGCAGGCAAGGCAGACAGTACCTGCCTGCCTTTTTTGGTGGGGGAGATAACATAATGCTCCTTCCTTTTAAAGATGAGGAAAGGGACTTGCCCAGGATAATGTGACTTGTTAGAGACAGAACCAACGAGAATCCAGGTCCCCAGCAGCTGTTCAAGGGCTCGCCCTCTACACAGTGTTCTATTTTCATATATTTTTTCTGCTACACTCAAATTAATTGCTCCTTTTTGAAATCTGTGCCCTGAGCAATGTTCTCGGCACAAACCAGTACCTAGGTAAATGACCAGAGTTTGACCTTCTGCCCTTATTGGTAATAAAAAAATTTTTTTAAATTGAGGAAATGTTTAAACATTAAGACTCAGACCTATTGATTAGTTGGCATACCACTTAACAGAGCACATAAAGACCCTAATTTGAGAGGAAACAGCAAGCCATGCAACCTCACACCTCTAGAAGGAAACCATCATCACTGATCCTCCTAGTTTTTAACGCCAAAATGATAACAATGTCAGTGCCACCTTTGACTTAATTATGTTTTGTTTTATTCTGTTTTGTAGGCAAGAAATGTTTCTGTTGAGTCAGCTGACACATTTTAATAAACACACTGAAGCCATATACAATGGCTAAAATTGTTCCCCAATATGATTTTCCTAAAATTAGTAAAGGCAAAATTGAACCTCTTGGTACCAAATTGCCTCTGAAGTGTATAGCACAGTTTTACCAAATATTGGACTGAAGTAGTTAGATTAGGAGATTTGTATGGTTGCAAGTGCTTCACTCAGGCTGTTTCAGGAATGAATTGTAGTGTAAGGTTACACATGGCCGCAGGGAGACTAAACTCTCTTTGGGAACCCAGTATTGTCACTCATCTGGCTCCATGGGGATGGAATACTGTCAGGCATTGCCCTGACCCCACCATCTCCCTCTGACACTTTCTTCACCACCAGCTGACTGACTCTCTCCCTATAGTCATAACTCAGACTCCTGAGAGGGGTCTGATTGGTCCAGCTATTCATCAGTGTCTCTGACCGGGAGCTCTTTTGCATCAGCCCTACAATTAGCCTGTGGATTGGCTGCCGTCGGGTCCGGTACCCACCACTGGTCCATTTAGCTGTGGCTGGCTTGATCAGGTGGTGCAGACTTGATCTACAATTTCATAAAATTTTATTTTCCTGGATTAATCTCTCCTGAGTTGATCATTCATGATGCATGAAATTGTGGACTATTTTAATGAAAATACATTTTTATTTCTTTCGAGTTTATGGAGCAATTCACATAAAGCTAAAAACCCCAATAGTCTTCTAAGTTGGGATCCATGAGGAACCGTTTAAAAGAATAAATAAAACTATGATTAACCTATTGTACTCACGCAGTTCAATAATTATTACTTGAAGATTTAAACTCATTTCCTTATAGGTAATGGGTTCCATAATTTGAAAGGCACTTATTCTCTTAAGTATTTTATGTAGTCCTTCACTGATTTTATATATGTATCCAAAAGATAAGGTATCAGTGACAAACTTCAGTATAAAATACCTTCCTGGCCAGGCCGGTGTGGCTCAGTGGACTGAGCATCGTCCCATAAACTGAGAGGTCCCCGTTGGATTCCTGGTCAGAGCACATGCCCTGACTGTGGGCCCGATCCCCAGTAGGGGGCATGCAGGAGGCAGCCGATCAATATTTCTTGCTCACATCAATGTTTCTATCTCTCCATTCCTCTTTTTAAAAAGAAACAATAAAAACATATTTTAAAAATAAAATAAAATACCTTTCTGATGTAAATGGCTGGTTAGCTCAGTTAGAGCATACTGCTAATATAATACCTGCCTGGGTAGGTATTATTTAATATATTCTTCATCTTGATAATTTTTTTCCTGATCCAAAGAGCATCAAAGATTTATGTCCCTCCACATTAAATTTCATGATCTCCCCCATAAACTTAAAGTGTGTCTACTTATCATACCTTATTTCAACTTGTGGTATGATCAGGCCAATTTTCCCTCATTCTCTCTACCCATTATTTCTTCATTCTTTTTTTAAATCAAAGCTCCCTTTTCCTAGGATTATATCTACTTCATATTGGTCAGGTCCTCTCTGTGTCCTTCCACAAACAATTCCAAACCTACCTTTTCTCAGAAACTTCCTCTGTTGTCATGGGGACACAGGATTGTCACACAGCAAGCCCAACTCAACTTATGGCAGAATAAGGTTCTTTTTTTTTTCTTCTTCAATATCAAATGATAAACAAGATACTGCTGCAGCAGCCTTCTTGGAATAAGCCTAAACATCTATTTGAAGCACACAATTAAATGAAAAATAAACTAGAAAATCTATTTTGTTTCCTTGGTACAAAAGCCCCTCTGTATTCTGTACTTGAGGGAGGTGCTTCTCAATTCACATTAAATGGAAGTGGTAATGAAGACCTTGACTTTTGAGAAGTAATACTTGACATCTGAGTAAAGAAATACTTTTCTTGGAATTGTTAAAAGTGCCTTATCGTAAAAAAAAAAAAAAGCCCCAGCCGGTTGCTCAGTGGTTAGAGCATCGGCCTGCGGTCCAGAGAGACCCAGGTTTGGTTCCCGCTAAGGGCACGTGCCTCGGTTGCAGTTTGTCCCCAGCCCTGGTTGGGTCGTGTGGGTGGCAACCACTTGATGTGTCCCTTTCACGTCGATGTTTTTCTCTCTCTCCCTCCCTCCCACTCTATCTGAACAAAATATCGAAAAATGTCCTCGGGTGAGGATTTTTTTTAAAAATGCCTTATTGGCTAAGGCCAGTTTGAAGCTACTGATCTCTTGTGAGAGATCACGTTTACTGCTCTTCAAAGACAGATTAGTTAGAATTAAGTTTGCATTTTGACAAACAGCAGGACTCATTTATTTAAAGAATTCAAAACGGTTACCTCAGGAGGCACAGAGATGTCTTTCCTGGACTGCCTTCCAGACTGTCTCAAGGGAATCAGTGGGATTGGATTACTGTGGGGGTTAAACTGTCAAATTGAAGAAATGAGTTGAATGATGAATTTATAATACTAATCTTATTCTTCACTCAAAGAACTGCTAACTACACATTGGAAATGCCATTGGATATCTTTCTGGATTTTCTAAAGTAGCTATTAGAATTTGGACCATATTTAGTACGTGGTGAAAACAACTCTGTGTTTGGAAAACATGTGTCAGACCACTAGGGGTTGAATCCTCTGGGCACACATTTATTTTATGTGAAAATTAAGAGGATGTTATTGACTTTAATATGTTCTTGAAGAAAACCATTTACATGTAAAAGCTTGGCATTTTATAAGAGATTCATTCACACTTTATTTTACCCCCTGAGAATCCTTACTTACGGGCAGAGATATCACTGACAATTTTCCAAAAAGACAGTGCTTTAGGGTTTTAGCTATAACTCTATTACCATGTCCTGCTGTTGACGACTCATTTTTCTAAACACCAAAACAAGTGGTTGAAGTGACTATTTAGGAAATTTTAGAAATCAGTCAATTTTATGGAAAGCATTATAGAACTCTGGTAGTCATAAGTGCTGTTTGCCAAATGTTTCCAAACTCTCCTCCTTCCTCGTACATGGTAAGATTACACTTTTGTCCCTTTTGAGGCTGGGTGGGACCATGACGCTAACTCTGGTTAATATGTTGGAGCAGAAATGATGACTTCTGACACTTCTGGTCAAGGTGGCAGCACCGGTAAATGAAGTACTCACCTCCTCTCACAACCCCATAAAAATTACAACTAAACTATGGAAGAGCCATCATTCAGAACCACCTG